ATGTTTTTATATTTTCACTTTACATCACCAGTGCCATACTTTTTTTTGTCCACTTGAAGCTCGGAATTTCTTTTTGCCATTCTAGCCCACAGACTGTATTTCAAACACCATTATGCTCCCCACACATATACTCATATATAGTACTTCGTCTCACCTTGTCGCCGACTTTGATGAGCGGCACGCAAAAGAGCGGCGCAGAATAGCCGATCACCATGCGGAATATATATGTGGACCGCTTGAACCAGCGGACGTAGTAGGGATCCAACGCCTCCCCCATGTTCTCGCTGAGGTGAAAAGATGGGTGCAGGACATACATTAGACTCTTGCTATTCCATAAGACTTTTACGCCGAAGGGAAATGCGCAAAGTGGAAAGTGGAGCTTACTGCATGTCTCATCTAACCTTTTATCAGATTTTCTAAAAATTTTCACTTAGTAAAAGCTACCAGTCCGTCTAGATCAGTGCGCGGGAAAGGACTAATTTTCGCAGCAGACCCCTCCCCCCCCCCTTTTCTTTCTCTTCAGTGCGCACGTGTATGATCGCCAGCTACTTTATTACTAAGCGCAAACTTCGACACACTTGATAGAAGTGCTGGAAGGCGAAAACACTTAAGTTAGAATACAAACCAGCGTCACCTAGCGTAACGTATATGCGATTGCATGCCTGTCCTAAATAAGGCCTAGTTGCGTCATCGAATTCCCTTGTCGCCTGCTTAGGGAGTGTTTGGAGTGTTTCACAGCTTCGCGCGCAAACTCACCGTATGGTGTCGAGATGGACGAACTCGAAGCGAACGCGAACACAGGAGGTACAAGTGGACTATGGCATCTGGCCTACGCTGAAGCGTGCGAAAGCCAGGATGGTAACAGGGCTTCGAATGCGTGTCGGCACGAGCCAAAACGGAACGCGACTTGATGATGATGATCTTCTCAAGACATGGCACGAGCCCATATGCGAAAAATGAGAGCTTGCTGCTGTTGATGATGGTGATGATGCTGGTTTTCTGCACTGCTGTTCTGGATGAATACACTTTATTTTAAGTCCGGCTGTTTCCTTCGGGCGAAGTGGGGGAAGAGGAGATTGACTGCTGTCCCTTCCCACCCTCCGTCGATGATGATGGTGGTGGTGCTGTTCTATAGGAATTTATTTGTTAGCTTGTAGCCTCAAGACTGGCCTCCGGGAGATAGACCAAGAAAGAGTATTGTAATCTATGGATAACTACAGTAATGCTAAAATGCTAATTAAAATGAAAAAATAGAGAAAAAAATAAAAAAAAAGCGAAATGAAATAACCATTATATTAAAGAAATTGTGAAGTCTGTTTTTTTCTATGGTATCTTTTGCCCCCTCCTTTTTCTCCGACTCACATTTCCTCTCTCTCTTCTTTTGAATCCACTTGCTGATTGCTTGCGACATCGTGACCGCACCATCTTTTTCCATTATTACGCCCCCCCCCCCCCTTGTTACCGATGAGCAAACAGGATGCAGCAGAAAATGCGCATCCTCACGGGCCGCTACGCAAGGCGCAATTTACTTTTCTGTGTGGTGGCCCGATTCGCCAACTCTTGGCGCACGTGCGAAGGCATCGATCTCACTTTTTTTTTTTCGCATGTCATGACGTGGACTCTGAGATTGGCTCCGGGGACGCCCCCACGTTACCAGAACTGATCAAGGAGGCCACATTTATGATTAGACTGTTCAGCCCCTTCATTCATTCTTCTTCGCCACGGTTTAATTGGTATTGAAATGTTACGCGAAAGATTCACCCAAAGTTACTGCACTGCATCCACACCAACTTCCCCTCTATAATAATATAACCAGCCCCTCCCGTTTTTCTTCCGGTTACTCACCTTGCGTTTTTCTTATTTTTTTATCACTTTTCCTCCACAAAGGCCGCATGGCCATGGTATACATCAACTGCACATGAACCCGCATATAGAATGCATTCTTGTATGCGAGTCGCGCATGCGCGCAATCTTTATCGAAACACTAGCCCGAACTGTGGACGTGTGTCGTTGGCAGCGTCGGCGAAAATCGTCGGGGCGCCGGTATTCGCCGGCAGAGGTATGCGCCCGTGTTCGAGGGGCGAGCGCGTGCCGTTGTCGTCGGTGGCGTACCAATGGCGCAGCGCGCGCATCAGCGCCAGCGACCGCCGGTTGCTCCTCGCCGTGGTTACGGCCAGCGCGACCGCTGCGCCCACCACCATGGTGACGATGGCCATCACGGTCAGCAATGTCCACAGCGTTTGATGGCGCCACGCTGCTTGCTGGAGGCTCCGCACGGCACTGGAACGAGCACCGGCCTGCAGGTTTAAGGGGAACCGCCGAGGGTTATGCGGTTATAATAATTGTTGGGGTTTCACGAGTCAAATTGCTATGTGACTATGGGAAACGTTGTATAGTGGAGGGATTCAGGAATGTAAACCTCCTGGAGTTCTTTGATGTGCACCCAAACATAGGCGTACACGGGCCTCTAGCTTTTCCCTTCTACCGAAATTCGACCAACGCGGCAAAGATCGAACTCCATGACTTTCGGGTCAGCCACAGAACACCGTATCAACTCGGTGGCCTCACAGTGTTTCTTACTTTCTAAGTCGACACCTGGACTGCGTATTATAGTAACAAAATATTGGTCCGGTCGGAAATGTGAACGCAAGCACAGTGACATATTTTCGGGACGAGGTTCCTAACAACTGGTGTCAAAACTCAATTCCCAGAGAAAGCTAGAAATTTTCACATACCCCTCCGAACACCTCAAATTTCGCATCCCCTTTCCGACAACAACAAAACAGCTATTTCACCGCACCCCAACACCCCTCTTCCAAGGCCCAGATTGAAATTCTGGATGGATTCGTGGCCGTGGCTTGTCGCAAACAACGCCAACAAATCTTAAAAGCTGTGCTATTCTGTGCTGCAAGCTCCGCGTCGAATTTGGGAGCAGTAAACAAATAAGGACCGCGAAGGTATGCTGCGCCGAGAAGAGATGCGGTGCTAACGACAACTACCCGCGCGAAAGACAAAGCCATGTTCGGAGCACTGTGAGAAATAACACGTGGCTGACAGACCGCATACGTGGCATATTTCAGAAAAGCGCGTCCACAATGAGCTCTGTTATTCTCTTGCCTGTAGACTGCCGCTCGAGTGCGTGGACACCAGGACGATGCGAGGCTTCTTTCGTGACAGCACGGGGGACGCCAGTGGGCTTCTGCTCGCGTCCCAGCCTGAAGAGAAACGCGGGTCCTCGAAGCCACCCCGCAGGGCTCGAACGTGCGCCGCCATGTCCTGCAGAATCGAACGCAGTACAAAAATTACTTCCAGAGCGTGCTCAATCGGCGAATCAAGAGTTGATGGAAAAATATTCCCCGCCTCAATGTGGTCGTTGTAGACTGGCAAGCCTGTGTAAAAGGTAGAACATCCTAGTTGTGTTCTCTGAATGATTTACAGACTGCAGTATAGCTCACTCTTGTCGTAAGCAAAAGGCATTAAATCAAAGCTGTTCAAGCTTAAATAGATCAATGATTTTGCTGACAGCCCTATATGCATAAGATGCACAATGTCTCCGCATGCTGACTGTCGTAATAACACCAACTGTAGACGCTTGGGCACGTTGGTGAAACATTGCAAAGAGCACAGTGCATTAGAAAATTGGAACAAAGGAAAGCGATACACGCTGTGTGCCTGTCGTCCTTCTTTGCACCCGTGTCGCCCTTCTTGACCATTCACTTTACCATTTCCGAAACTGCGCGATGTCAATGAAGATACCAATTTTGTGATTTAGTCGGTTTTGCCGGCGTATTTAACGTGTTTATTCCTGTCCTTTTGTTTTATCAGTAGTACAGATGCGTACACGTTCCGATCGACCATGCGGGATGACCTAGTGTTCTTCAGGCAGTTTGTAGTGAAAGCGTGGAAGTGCCAGCGAAACACGCGATCTTGCACTAATTTTATCAAAATACAATATCACGACCGCGACGACTAAACGAGGGAAACATGCTCCACAACGATCACTGGAATCAACCACGAGTGTGCAGACCACATCAAATACGCAGTTGATCACGCACTGGCTTGACCAAAATAAAACTTAATTAGAAGTTTGACGCATAGAGCAGAAACGTGTTAAGGTACGATAAGAATGGTAGGAAGCTCTCAACCTGCGCTATATTTCTTAGACCGATAGAAAGGTCTGCCACGTTTTGCGTAGACATGCAGTACACTCAGCCACGTTTCGTCACTGCGTTCATTTAATGCAGTGACGTATGATAACATTTTGAACAGAATGTTAGCGAAAGTCGCCGTTTGAAAGAATGCCTTTTAAATATCGCGTGGATTAGTAATTCAATAACGGAATTTGGCATTAGGGCATTAGGATTAGAGAAACATACCGATGCCAATCTTCCGAGCGACTAAAGTCTGGACACCGATTCATATTTGAGATTTTGCTCTGTGTATGTTTCAAGACACGAAGATTGCATACATGCCTCACGGAAAAAAATGTGAAAGGGCGATTTCGGGACACTACTAAATCATCTGTGTGTGTGTGTGTGTGTGTGTGTGAGAGAGAGAGAGAGAGAGAGAGAGAGAGAGAGAGAGAGGACGAGCCGCTGGCAAGAAAAGGTCCGACCGCACGCCTGCGTCTGGGACCCATGCTCTACGAGCTTTGCATGCGTGTGATACCTCGGGACTGCTGTCGCGCAGGTCGACGTCATCGAAGGGGCTATGGTCTCCGTCGTCGTAGTCTTCGTCGTCATCGCCGTGTCCTCTGCCGGCGACCAGTACGGGACAGCCTTTGTCCGGCGAGCAGGCGGCCAGCGCGGACGTCTCGGCCATCTGCGCGTCGTCGGTGGCAGCCGCGGTCGCTCTTTCCGCGAATTCATGACCCCTTCCACGTGTCGCCCATCCGACCAGACTGGCCGTCTCCATCCTGCTCTGCTCTACCTCTACGCCCATGGCTTGGCCCATCACTGCGATATCTATCCTTACGCCCTTGTTAGAACGAGATCACCGTGATGCAAGAAGCGTTGGTCTCGAGCTCTAAAGATGATGACGACGACACCGATGATGATGGTGATGCTCCTGCGATGAACACGCGGCCAATACCCTGCATTGGGTAAGAGCCATGAGAAGAGGACAACAACAAGAAGAAGATTTGCACCTACCCACCCAGGGAGACTGGTCAGGAGACGGGTGGATCATACTGTTGTAAAATTTCTAAAATTTCCCAAATTTTAGGCTACTAAGTAAACCATGCTGCCCCAGCTCTCGCGGGATGTTTCTACCAGAACACGTGGAGGACAACCTGGCGAATCGTGCTCTCTCCCTGTGCCTCTGCGATTTCTTCCAGCGTGTTGTGCTTGCCGAGACGAAACAGTCTGTCAGAGCTTGTGTACTTGGGAAGACCGAGAGCTCTCCTGTTAGCCTTTCTGATTAACGTGTTGAGCTTATCACGCTCCGTAGCTCTGCCAGTTGTGCATGGCTGCAACGTAGGTGAAATGACACGTTACAAAGGCGTGCACCAACCTTACGAGGTTATTTTGCCAAGGCAATGTTGCCTGCGGCAACCATTCGTCTCAGTTTAACAGGTAGATTTAACGAAATTCACACCAACTAGCGGTATCAGTTTCTCTTGCAATAATGACGTAGTGCAGATATTTTCAGATCAGACATATGTAAATATAGGTTCGCTAATGGGATACCGCCACGTAGCGATGCACAGTGGCCAGCTCATGTCCACTGCCACGGAGCGTCGCGCTTTGAATAGAAAGAGCGACAGCTGCAGTTTGAAACGGGCCAAATCTGAGCATGCGCCAATGGTGTGCCTGCCTTGCAGTGTCCGTCCTTACTTATTGCCGCGGCCGCGATAACTGCTTTACCGTTATATGCACTGTAAAATCTATAGCTCTGAAAAAAAAAAACCCCAGAAAATAGACTGCAATTTTCCAGATTAGTATCTCTTATACCGTGAACGTATGCTCGGTTTGTGGTATCATATTATACCGAGCATGGTTCGCGTCATAATTTTTTGCTTGTTTTTTTTTCATGCTAAACTATTTTTTTCATTTTTTTATTATTGTAACTTTCACATCCATGTAACAAAAAACTTCGCAAACACTTGTTTGGTCCAATAGCCTAACTGGCTAGTAGAGAGACCAATTGTGTGACATACCTACATACTTGCGCAAGCGGTTACACTGCGACAAAGGACATCAAACTGGATACAATGTATGTTTAAAATAGACAAAAAAGCAAAAAAAAACACATGATTGAACTATACAAAGAAACATAGCGCAGAACATAGCTATTTATAGCACAGAATAATAATAGCACTAGAATAATAGTAATACTACTAATACTACTAGTACTACTACTACTACTACTACTACTACTACTACTACTACTAATAATAATAATAATAATACTAAATGACTATGCAGACGTATTACTTAGAAAGTTCGCATGAAGTGCATGCTTCATGGCCAATGAAAAATTTCTTGCCTCTCACATCAGTCGGTATCGCATTCCATATGAGAGCGCCGTGAAATTCTATGAGCCTTCGACCATAGGCATTTCTGGCTACCGGTAAATTAAAACAGTGATTCGCTGCAGCTCTTGTACAGTGCGCGGGTAACGTAAAGGTGCTTAATGGGAATGGGTCATCACGTTTTATTATCTCATGCACTATATCAGCAACACTAGACACGTGAACAGAGTCCAGTGGAAGTACACGCATCATTTTAAGCAGTGGTTTTGCAGTATCCGTCCTGTTTGAGTATGTAATAATCCGGACTGCCCTCTTTTGCAGGCGGCTAATACATTTCAAATGAGTTTTATATGTACTGCCCCACGATGCTATACAGTAGCTCAAGTGACTGTGCACGAATGCAAAATATAGGATGCGCAAAATCGATGCGCCAAAACATTCACGGGCTTTTAGTAGCGTGTGACACCCATATGCTAGCTTGGAGCATGTCTTTTCTATATACGATTTCCAGTTCATGTCCGAGTCAAACATGACCCCTAAGTACTTAAACGAGGCTACTGGCTGTAGCAGTGCCGTATCTAAAACGAAGTTGAAACCTGCAAAGTCGAGTTCTTTTTTCCTAGAGTGAAAGATTGATTGATTGATATGTGGGGTTTAACGTCCCAAAACCACCATATGATTATGAGAGACGCCGTATTGGAGGGCTCCGGAAATTTCGACCACCTGGGGTTCTTTAACGTGCACCCAAATCTGAGCACACGGGCCTACAACACTTCCGCCTCCATCGGAAATGCAGCCGCCGCAGCCGGGATTCGAACCCGCGACCTGCGGGTCAGCAGCCGAGTACCTTAGCCACTAGACCGCCGCGGCGGGGCTAGAGTGAAAGACCATGTATTTAGTTTTCTCTGTGTTGATATTTAGGTGGTTTCGTTTAAACCATACTTGTACTCTCTGTAACTCTTCGTTAATTTTATCTTCGATGTCTCTTAAGCTGTCACCAACAAAGATTAGTGCCGTATCGTCTGCGTACATTAAAGCTTCTGAATATAGTAGGATGGAGGGAAAATCGTTAACGTACAGGGAAAAAAGAGTGGGTCCAATAACTGAGCCTTGTGGTACCCACAGCGCTTTCGGTATCCAAAGCGGTTGTTGCATCCGCAGTGATAAACAGTAGTAAAATGCATAAAAGCCGGGTCATTGGCACCATGAATGCTCAGCTTTAGGGCTGCAGATGTCACTAATGCAGTTCTGAGCACGACGCTCCGTCGTTGTAGGCACGAGAACTGACCACTGTACTAAGTACATCTTAGTTTGATGGTGGCTGGCCCCCGTCAATTCTTCCGAGAAAGCTTTATGTGATAGACGTCTGCGAATAATGTTATCGATGTTTCTATTAGTGTACGCAATGAAAACTTGCGGCATCTTACCGCCATGGTATAGGGCAACATACTTCGGAAGTAAAAGATTCGACAGATACCACGTACCTCGGGGATCGATGTTATGCGAAGCATGCGGAAGGAAGGGGACTGTGTTGTAACTTTCTTTATTGAGCGAGACGTCCTAAAACGACGCTTAAGATATGTACAAATGTTATTCGAACAGACATATGTTAAACAGTCGCATGTTTACTGTTGCATAACTATGCAAACAGCAACATGGACACCAGAAGCGGTAAGCTGATATCCAGCACTTGGGTTTGCTGGGATGGCGACCCGGCACACTGTCAGATTGAGCTTCAGTGGATGGCGCTTCCCTACAGTTGCCGTTAACCTGGTGTGACGGCTATATGACAGGAGTACGTATGCACAGTTTATAAGATCGGATAGTCAGCACTGGCACCACAATTGGCGTTTCACGAACATTACGGCCAACTTGAAAAGTAGTACCGAGACCAGGTTGCTCTGTGGTAGAATACTTGATTGCCACGGAGAATGTGGCGTTTCATTCCTTCTGGGACCATATTTTTTCTTTACATTAGTCAAGTCAACGCAGTCAATGTCAACTTTTTCTTAACGCTCACACGTTAGAATCACCCATCTGTGTTCTCACCTTTCCTGGGTATATATATGAAGTGTCAATCACCTGTGACATATACCCTCATACCAGTGGCACATGCCCGCTCACGGGTATGGGCCACTGTCTGGCGGAAAGTGTTTGACGACGTTACGAGACGGAATTGTGGCATTATTCATGTCATGACCAGTGAGTCGTATTATTCAAAACATCTTACTCTCCTGCACTGATTTCGGTTTACCCCAAGTTAAGGTGGTGATCACGAGAGCACTTAGAGGTAGGTGGATAGATAGCTAGATAGCTATAGATACGTAGATAGACACCAAAGGCGCTTGCAGTATACGCAAAAAATTCTTCGTATTTAATAATAATAAGTCGACGTCTTCTCATTGCCTGCTTTGTCTCAGCCGTCGTAATTATTAGCGGTTAAGATGCTTGAGTGCTAAGCTGAAGGTAGTGGGTTCCATTCGAGGCCATGACAGCCAAATTTTAATGGTGATGAATTGATTGATCGATATGTGGGGTTCAACGTCCCAAAATCACCATATGATTATGAGAGACACCGTAGTGAAGGGCTCCGGATATTTCGACCCCCTGGAGTTCTTTAACGTGCACCCAAATCTGAGCACACGGGCCTACATCATTTCCGATGGTGATGAATTAAAACAGAAACCGGTGCACTTAGGTTAATATGTACGTCAATTAATCCATGGGATCAAAATAAAAAATCAATCAATCAATAGAACAATTAATCATTCAACAAATAAAAAATCAATAAGCCAATCAATTATTAAATTTGTTAGTTTATCAATATGCCTCAAAAGAAGTGATAAATTGGGTAAAGTTTACTGGTATGGTAGTTTCTCCCCTCCCCTTGTGCGTTGAAGTTGTAAAAATTATCTTTTTATGAAAACTCTGAGCAGCGAGAGCTTCTCGAGCACTCTTGCTATGTGAACGTGTGTGGTTGGCCCAGCAGTATCACGAACATGACGTCACTTTCGACACAACCTTTAGCGGGTTGACTGTATCTGGCAGCCTTTCCTGTTTTCGTGAAAGGTACAAAACTTAAAACCTGCGAATATGCTTTAGCTTTATTATGTAGCATTACGTTATGTATACGCAGACTTATGTGCATCACTGTTATAAAATTCGGAACACAGAAAGCTTAAATTTGTCAAAAACAGACTCAGAAAAGACAAGCGTATTGCAACATTCCGATCCAGCTGAAAAGAGCGAGAAGACACGTTAAACAGGCGTAATCCCCTTCGAAGCAATCCTTAAGAAAAGTACTGTTCCCAGTCGGATCCGGCAGTGTATAATGCAGTTGATCGCGTGGCAGAGCCTGCGGCATAAGAATAACTGCCAAGCTGCCTTAGCGGTGTACCTTTTTTCCTGCCTCGCTAGTGAGTGAAAAATGAACGGCGACAGTGCCGCACAGACTACACAGGGAGAGAGAAACACATTCGAATTCGTGGCGTACATGTGTAACGGGGAAACGTACTGTTCCCGACTCCAAAAACGAAGCTTCTTTAAATTCTCACCACCGCATCTGTATGGAAGTGCCGGTTTCGTTCGTAGGGGTTGATTCATTGCTCACAAATCGGCAGCGAGCTGTT